AGGTGAGGACCCTGGGGCCAGGGGTGAGTGGGGGGCCGGGGGGACCCACCTCAGCCAACAGCACCGCGTTGTCCTTGAGAGCCCCTGCGATCTCCTGCTGTGTCGTGTCCAGGTGCACCAGCACCTGCCCGAACTGGGTGGCTGGAGGAGGACACACCTGAGTGCTGGGGAGGGCAGTGACTCCCAGCGGGTGTCCCTGAGCCCCCCCCACCCTCACCTTGCTCGTGCAGGTCCCGCAGGGTCACCAGGCGCTGCACCACGTCGGGCAGGGCACTGGCCACAGCGTCCCAGCTCTGCAGCGTCTCGTACAGCTGGTGGATCTGGGGGGCAGCAGATGGGGGGGTCAGCGCAGCCTGGGGGGATTGTTTTGGATCCCCCCGTGGCCTCTGGGCCCCACAGCCCATACCTTGCTCTGGGTGTCAGCGTCCTGCACTGTGGCCTTGTGCTTGGCGATCTCATTCACCTTCCCAAGGACGCTCTGGTGTGGGGGAAGAAAGAGACCCCAAATCCAGCAGTGGGCCCCCAAATCCAGTAGTGTCCCCCAATTTCAGCAGTGCCCCTCACCTGCAGCCGAGCCTCCACCTGATCCAGCACAGCCACATCCAGAACGTTCACCTTGGCCTGCAGCACCTGCACCGTGTCCTGGGGAGGGGGGGACAGGTGAGGAACAGTGCTGGGGGCAGGGGAGGGGTGCTCCCAAACCCCCCTTGCCCAACTCACCATGAGGCTGGAGCCCTTCAGCCCCACCAGCAGTGGGTTCTGTGGGGGGAAACAGTGTCAGTGGGGCAGGAGAAGGCAGATAAAGGATGGGGCAGGAGGGAGGGAGGGCAGCCCCCTCACCTGGGTGCTCACCTGGCTGTCGGGCTCACACCTCATGGCCGCCTCCAGCTGTGCCAGACGTTTCTCCAGCTCTGACACCTGTGGGGTTTGGGGTGAGGTGCTGGGACTGCAGTGTGGGGCCGGGTCCCAGATGTGGTGCTCCCTCAGGATGCCCCTGGGGGAAGCAGCCCCACACTCACCTTGGCAGACTGGGCAAACTGGTCCTGCTCCGGCCTCCAGTAGAGCTCGAAGGTGACGGCATCACCGGCAGGGACAGGGCCCCGTGCAGGGCCCTTCCCCGGAGTGCTTTTGCTGCACTTGGCCACCTCCAGCTGCTGCAGCAGCCGCCTGGGGACAGGCAGGAGGGGACAAGGTGGGCACGGGGACAAGGTGGGCAGGATCCCTGTCCCAGCCCCACAGGGACGCTGCCACACCCCCCTAAGGTCCTGTCCCCCACTCACTTGGCCAGGGCACCCTCGGGGTCAGCGAAGTCAACGGCAGCACCAGGGCCCAGCACCTTCTCCAGGTGGGAGCTGAGCAGCTGCTGCTTCAGCACCTCCACCTGCCTGGCCAGGGCCATGGGCGTGAGCTCCTCCTCAGCCCCCGACTCCTTCACCGAGCTCTGGGGGGACACACAAGGCTCGTGTCACCCCAGGACACACTCTGGGACAGGTGGGAGCTCACCGGGGGCAGGTGGCTGCTCACCTGCGCACACAGGTGCTCTGCCAACCCCAAGCCCTGCCCCTGGACAAGTGGGAGCTCACCTGGATCTGCTCCACATCCCGGAGCAGCTCCTGCACCTCGTGCTGCAACCGCTGGAATCGCTGCTGTGGCGTCTCCTTGGCACCCTCACCCAGCTGTGGGAGAAATGTGTCAGGCGGCTCACGGGGGGCCAGGGGGCTCACACGGGGTCAGGGCAGCTCATGGGATGTTGAAGGGGTCATGGTGCTTCAGGGGTCTCAAGGGGATCAGGTGTCTCATGGGGTGCTCAGAGATCTCACAGGGGGTCAGGGATCTCACAGAGTTCAGGGGTCTCAGATGGCTCAGGGGTCTCATGGGGGCTCAGGGGGTTCACAGGTGCTGGCAGCACCTGGCACCAAGCAGAAGCAGCAGGTGAGCTCTGCAGGGACAGGTAAGAGCAGCCTCAAGTGACAGAACCTCAGGTGGCACCTAAAGAGAACCTAATGGGGTCAATGGGGCAGGGCAGGAGCAACCCAGGAGAGTCCTGAACCCACAGGGAGAGGGGCTGCACTGGAGCTCATCTTCCTCCTAATGGAGCTCCCCATCTGTATCCTCATGAAGCTTATCTTCACCCCCATGGAGCTCTTGGGCCTGGCCTGATGAGCCACAGTGACCAGACCTGGGGACACAGGTGTCACCCCCCTCCAAGCAGTCCAAAAATGAGCCAGGTGACACTTGGTCATCTTCTCCCCTTTGACCCTGGGTGACAGGGACTGCAGCCCACCCTGAGTCCCCTGTGAGGGTCCTGAGGAACCAGAGGAACCGGGACAGCCTGGGGAACTGTGGTGACTGAACTTCACAGGCTCAGTGAGGGCACAGGCAGGACCCTCCTTGGTGAGAACAGACCCCAGCACCAGGACATGAGGGTACCCAGGAAAGTCCTGGAGATCCTGGGGGACATCCAGCTGAACTTGAGCCAGCCAGAACCATCCCAGGTTCTCAGGAACCCCAGGCCCACCCCCAGATCCATCCTGGGACCTCAGCTCCATCCAGGACTTGCTGACCAGTGCTGCCTTGAGCACCCTCAGGGACCCGTGTTTGGGACAGGGACTCCCAGCAGGGCAGACTGGGATGGACTGGGCAGAGACCAGCACGGTGCTGCCATGGTGCTGGTGGAGCTGGCACATGGCTCCTGTGAGGCATGGCCAGGGGCTGCAGCAGGTGACCCCGGGGGTCCCATGGGACCTGAGGCACACAGGGGTGTCCCAGGCAGTCCCAGGGAGGAGAGGGTGCCCCTTGCCCACTCACCATCTCATACTCTCCAGCCTCGTAACCTGTCGTCCGTGTCCGGCCGATGCGGTCAGAGAAATCTGCACGAGGGAGAGCCGAGACCCAGCAAATCATGGGGGGCTCAGCCCTTTGGGGGTCCCCTGGCCCATCCTCAGCCTGCCCACCCCCTCTGAGCCCCCCAGCTCACCCACACCCTCGGTGCCCAGGCGCTTGTCCCGGAACTTCTCGTAGGCAGCGTTGGGGTTGATGATCAGGTGCTCCACGCTGGTGCTGCTCAGCTCCTCCTGCACACGGAGCCACGTCAGGGACAGGGACAGGCACACGGCGCTCCCCAGACTGCCAGCACCACCCCCAGCACACACAGGGATGGGGATGAGGGGCCCCAGGGCTGCCACCACCCCCAGCACACGGCGTGGGCAGGGATGGGGGGGCGCTGGCCTGGTCCTCCCCAGGACACAGGCGCAGGCCCCCAGTACAGCACCCAGCGAGAGCTCTGCTGGCAGTGATGTGGCACGTCCCCAAGGGTCCAGAGTGGGGACATCACACCCCCACACTGGCCTGGTCCCATGGGGAGGTACCCTCAAAAGTCCAGAGTGGGGATGTTGGACCCCTGGCCCAGTGTGGGGACACCAGACCCCGGCTTGGCCCAGCATGGTGACACTGGACCGTGGTCCAGCCCGGCCCAGCAGGCAGGGGTCCCCCAGCGGCCATGTCAGGACTCTGGACCCCTGGCCTGGCCCAGCCCAGCTCAGGGACTCCCAAAGTTCAACCTACCCCAAACTGTGGAACATTCCAGCAGCCCCTGGGAAGGACCAGGACCCACCACTGGTCTCTCCAGGGTGACCCCTGTCCCCGTGGGACTGTCACTGTCCCCCAGGTGTGTTTTGGCAGGACAACCTCCTCCCAGGGAGACCCCCGGCCCCCCGGGGCTGTCACTGCCCTCCGGCTGCCTTTCAGGCTGATCTCCCCAAGGGGGCCAAGGGGGTTGTAGGGCCCCAGACCCCCGGACCAAGGGGCCGTGCCCTGTGCCAGGCAGGGTGGGCACAGCTGTTGTGTCTGGGCTCCCCTCACTCCCTGCTGCCATCAAGGGGGTCCCCAGCTCAGCAGGCTCTGGTCCCAAAGGACCCCCATGTGGCCCCTCTCCAGCCCCTCCCGGCTCTGGCCCGGCTGGTTTCAGGGAGCCCCGGTTTGCTGTGGGGAGTGAGAGCGGCGGGAGCAGCGCTGGCAGCGTTAGGGGGCTGCGGTGGGTGGCAGCGGGCGACAGTGGCTGAGGGACAGTGACAGCGGCCGGGAGACGGGCGCTTACCAGCTCCTGGCGTTTCCCAGAGGTGAGAAAGTCAGAGCAAGGTTAGAGAGGGGAGAGAGAGACAAAATCCGCGTTAGAAGGTCCGGCCCGGGCCCGCCGCCCCCCGAGGGCTGGGGACCCCTGCGGGATGGGCACCCCCGCGGGACAGGGAACCCCATGGGATGGGGACCCCTGGGGGCTGGGCACCCCTGCAGGATGAGGGGCAGTGGGACAGACCCGGGGCAGCTGGGGATGGGGGCAGCAGCCCTGGAGGGGAGCAGGATGTGGCCAGAGTTTCTGGGAGTGCCCCATAACTCCCCCCAGGAGCTCCGGCTCTTCCCCAGGGGGGGAACGTGAGTAGAGCCAGGGGCTCCCCCCCAGGACCCCAACTGTGACTCAGTGGGACCCCAGGGCCCCTGGGGAGCCTCTGAAGGGCCATGAGCTGCCCCAGCCCAGCAGCTGCCCCATGCAATGCTGGCAGCAGCAAGGGGGCTCAGCACAGGCCCCCCAATGCCCAGGCAGTGTCCCCAGGGCAGTGAGACCCAGCCCAAGGGTCCTTGGGGGTCCCGGGGGTCCCAAGGCCAGGAGGGCAGTGCAGGCAGCAGACAGAGGATGCAGAGGGCAAGGCAGAGCTGGGGAGTGGCAGCACAGGGTACCCCAAAACCCCCAGTGCAGCAGGGGGAGCCCTGAGGGAACAGCGCTGGGACCCCCATGCACATGCAGCAGTGCCCCCCCATGCACCCCAAAGCAGGGCCACGCTTACTTGTGCAAACTGAGTCCAGGCCAGGCGGGAGCGGGGGGGAAGCGGGGGGAGCCCTGGTCAGTTTGGGGGGCTCCCTGAGTGGGAGGAAGGACCCCTCAAAACCCCAGAGCTGGTGAAAGGCTCCCCGAGGCAGAGGGTGGCTCAGGACCCTCCAGCCCTCTCCCCCTGCCACAGCAGGGGCCACACATCACCTCACGACTTTGTGTCTACTTTAGGCTCAAACCCCTGTTTCAGCCCATCTTGCTGCTCTGGCTCTCACAGGGTCTCTTTGACCCCCTCAGGATTTGGGGGTACCTGGTGGGCCCCTGCTCCGTGCCAGGGACCTGTGCCAATCTCCCGGACCCCAAAAGCACCAATGGGACCAATGGTAGAGGGTGGTTGCACCCCCAAGGCCTGGCACTCCCTCACTGGCTTGGGGAGCACTGACTCACCCCTTGGGCTGTGACCCCTGAACCCCCATTGTTCTCCCCAGCACATCTGGGGGTCACCCCATGCCCCTGGGGGTCCTTTCTGCCATGTGGCGCCAAGGACAGACCCCTGTGTGCCCCCATCCCTATGGGTCCCTCATGCCCCTTGAGGACAGAATCCAGTGTCACCCCCTGGGCCCTGGGGGTCCTTCAGGCCCCTCGATGATGGAGCTGTGTGTCACTCCACACTCTGGGGGTCCCCTGAGCCCCACAGGGATGGAGCCCTCTGTCACTCCACACTGAAGTTCCTGCACAGCCACCGCCAAGAATGGCCTTAGCCCAAGCCTGGGGACCCTCCGGTACTCAGAGCAGGTTTAGGGGGTCCCCCTTGATCCTCTTGGGGTGGGGTTGGGGAACTGGCAGCCCCCTTCCTCTTGTGGGCAAGGACAGCAAGGCCAGGGACACCCAGCCTGTGTGGGGGAGGCTGTGTCCTGCTCTTCCCTTCCTGCCCCACAAAGCACAGGCAGGGAGGGGGATGGGGGGGCTATGTGCCACTGTAGGGGACATTGTCACCGTGGGCAGTACATGTCACCGTGGGGCTCTTTGGGACTGTGGGGGAACACTGTCACTGTGGGGGGACATTGTCACCGTGGGGGTGATGTGTCACTGTGTGGGATATGGTGCTGCTGGTGTGTGGGAGGTGGGAGCCGGTTCCCTGCCATGCTGCCGGTCCTGGGGGGGTCCCAGGGGGTCCCAGGGGTCCGGTCCAGCTGTTGCTCCCCCCACTGGCCAGGCCTTACCGCCTCGAACTCGGCCTGGTCATCCTCGGGCAGGTCACTGGTCTCGTACACATCGGGCTCGTTCCGGGCCTGTGGCA